CCCTCCCGCGCTAGCCTAAGGGCCACCTTAGCAAAGCGCATCCCAGGCTGCATAGCCGCACTACCCTACCCAACCATACCACACATAAACATGACACTACCCCCGGGGTTTACACAGACGAGCCGGCGAAGCAAGAAGAGCGCCAGAAGAAAGGGCCCTAGCCGGCGGGGCCCAGCCAGGACAAAAGGAGGTCCCACAAAGCGCCTACACCGGCCGCATTTGCGGTCGGGGTAGACGACGGATGGGGCCCACCTACGAAGGCTGTCCAGGCCTACACGAGATGAGGCAGGATAAAGAGGGATAATCCCCCTCGATCCCAAATCATTGAGGCCAATTTCTAGCCATAGAATAATGGCGCGTGGCGCGAATACATTTTGAACTTCTTTTAAATTGTACTAGTGACGGCGGCAAATTTCAAGGTGACATAGGGGAATTTTGAAGAGTAGGTAGAGAAATGTGATTGCCAAAGGTTACCAACACTGGGCCTGTCAGTTGTCTCGAAAATGGCGGATGATTGCGACGGTTTTCCACTTCATAAAGCAGTTTTTGATAACGATTTGCAAACTGTCTCGCGCCTGTTAAGAAAACACGACGTAGCTGCTAAAAACAAACATGGTAATTTCTACTGTTTCATTTATAACACGGAATTGCGAGACCTCTAGCCTCTTGTAGTTTCACACAAAAGTGGGGTTATATTATCACTTTATTTTTGGAAAAGCTTGTTTATAAGTCCAATAATCTATTAGAGGTGAATAATAATGAGTTACGTTTTCATTTTTAGGCAACACAGCCTTACACTTGGCTGTTATGCTGGGAAGGAAAGGTAAAACCTTATTCCTTGTGTGATTTTAATTGTTATTCTATTAATTCTGTTCTTTAAGAATGTGTTCAGCTACTTCTAAAACACGACGCGCCGGTGAAAGTAAAGAACGGCCTGGGATGGACAGTCCTTGCAGAGGCTGTCAGTTACGGCAACCGTCCTACCAGTGAGTAAATATACCTAACTGTGTGTGTCTCTCTTGTGTAATATCGTCTTGTAGTTTCTTCGTTGGTGCGGAAATTCCGGCAGCAGTCCAGGGAGCAGATGGAAGAGCGACGGCCTAACCTCGTAGAAGCCCTGAATAGGATAAACGACTTTTACATGGAGCTCAAATGGGATTTCCAGTCGTGGGGTAAGACCGTCCGAAACTTTTTTGAGAAATCATGTTTCATTAACGTCTTTCCAGTACCTCTCGTGTCCCGTATTCTACCTTCCGACATATGCAAGATCTACAAGAGCGGCGCCAACATACGGTTAGACACGACCTTGGTGGACTTCTCCGACATGAGGTGGGAGCGGGGAGACATTTCTTTTATATTCAACGGCGACGCCAAGCCCAACGAAAGTCTCACCGTACTCGATAACATCACGAAAGTTTACCAGAAGGTCCGGTACGAGGTAGGGCCCCTTTTATCAATTTCTAGCTGCGGAAAGATGACGGGAACGTTCGGTTTTTAGGAGAGCGAGATGGAGATAGAGGACGAGGTCGACTTGTTGATGTCGACGGATATTTTGGCGGCGCAGATTTCGACGAAGAGTATTTCTTTCGCCAGGGCCCAAAGCGGGTGGATATTCAGAGAGGACCGAAAAGTAAGTGGCTTTCCACATGTTGATTTACGGGATGTTCTCACAGTTGGGGCTTTTTTTTTCTGATAGGCCATAGTTAATTTTACTAAAAATCACTATTAATTATGTAAAATACAAAAATAGATCGTTTAAAGTCGTCACAAGTATTCTTTGGCGGAACCGTGAAAATTTCACAAGCGTTTTGCGTTAGATGTCGTAGTTCTTCTAGTTACCGACTTTTCCATTACGATAAACCGAGTTTTTCAAAATACCTCGAAAAAAGTCACAATATCACAACAAATATTCAGTGTTGGGTGATTTTTTAGCGGAAATACAAATGAGATGTTGTAGCTGCATTTTGTCAGCACTCCCCATAAACGAAAAGTATGCTGATAAGTTTGTAGTTTTTGTATACGTGTGTCATGGTTTAAAAAATGCATATAACAAAATACAGCAACAGAGAAAAACACCATCTTCATTTTATCCTTTTGCCAAATTTAAGCCTTTATTAGTTTTTGTTCATGATTTAAACTGTACTGGAAGTATGTCCGTTCATTTCCGGACACCTTGTGTATGAATATGTTCCCTAAACCATTTAAAAATTCGTTTTTTTTAGATTTATTTACATTTTATTGTTTCCTAACCGTCATTTGATAAATTATTTATTATCTTTATTTATATAAACGCTATCTATAAAAAAAGAAGATATATAGGGAGCATATTTGTCATAAAACGTTGGTAAAATAATTCTTATCAAATACTATTTGCTTTTCCTTGTTTGCATATGAAAAGTAATGAGTTCCTGCGATATCAACAAGTATATCTAAAAAAAATGTATCCGGTCGAAAACGATTTCTTATCTTGGAATTATTTATTATATTTGTTATCAGTTCATCGATATCAAACATAGCACGGTTTAATCATAAAATTTTAACCATAAAATACCGTTTATTGTACAAATAATTGAATTTTTGTTGTTATTTTTGTTCTAATGTAGAATTTGCCGATGTTACTGCAAATTTACTTGCAAACGATGGATTTTTCGAGTATGTATAATTAATATGCAAAGGTTTATTTAAAAAAAAAATATAAAAAGTTTTAAAAGTAATCCTGTTTTTCTTAAATTAAAAATTAAGCCTTTGTTAATATTTTGAGCTTAAAATCTCATAATACGGTATTGAAATGGCATTTACAGCGATTACCATTAGACTAGGCGGTATCTGATTTGGTTTGGATGAATCGTATATCCACGGAGATTTTTGGCTTTCAAATATCACTAGAAATGAAAATTTTTTTATGCGCATAAAAAAAACGTGGACTTAACTTTTGGCGGCACAATATGTCAAAAAAATTCGAAAAATGTTATATTTTTCTTCCTATTTAATTATGTATCTCTTCAAGAGTTCATTTTAGGCGAAAATGAAAGAGGAAAAAAATGTTTGTAATTAAATTTTGTACAAAATATGACTAGTTACAAATCGAATGAATCATGATTATTATTGTAAAAATCGAAAAAATCGTCAAAAATGGGGTTAAAAAACATTACTTTTTAAGATTTTTTTTTTGGGGTCTTTAAGTTGGGTATAGGACCTTCATACTTGGTTCAAGAAAAGTTCATGTTATGTAGAATCATCACATCAAATTTCATCAAAATCGGTTCGGTAGATATTGCATAATAATTTTGCAATTGAGATTTTGAAAAAAAATTTGCAAATTTTCAAAATTTTGCACAGCAAAAGCCAATGCCCCTGGATACTTGAAAATTTAATCACATATAGAAGGGCTCTCAAGCTTTCAAACGCTTTTTGAAAAATTCGAATCCTTCAAATAGGAGAGCTCTGGCGCTTCTTTAAACATTGGTCGAATTTTTGTACTTATAAACAATTAGAATAACTGTGAATATTCAAACAAATCAAATTTTTTAAAGCAGGTTTTAAAAGTTATTGGAAAGACGCTTCTTTAAAAAAGAAACAGATCGATTGGACAATTAGTTACGTAGTTATAACCGATCAAAGTTAACCGTCATTTACACTAAATGTACTGGGACATCCGGGCTAATTTTTCAAAAAACACCTTTGGTATTCCGAGTACTTACCAGGTCTAAGTTTGCAATACTTTTCTTCATTGGCAACCTACTTTAAAACGCTTTAAAGTTATTTATGCAAGCGAGAAATTCAAGAAAATCGTACAGGTGGTGGTGGTGGGGAAAGCAAAGAGCGCGACCGCTTTGGCCTGCTCGAAATTGAATCGGCGAGTTCAAAACCGACGCGCTAAAAAATTTTTAATATCGGCTTCTTCTAGAGGTCCAATTTTGATTATTTTTTTTTAAATCGATGTCTCGCAATTTAAAAAAAAACAATTAGCGTATTTTCAAATGCCTATCGTTAATTAGTATTGGTCTTTCAACAGTCCGATAATAATTTATCTTTAAGCTTCCTTTAATTATCAACTTTATTTTTTTATTGTATCAAAGGTAAGTGCATAAACTTATATACTGTTTATGAAAGATCAAAAACAAATTTATTTAAATATTCTAAAATTGTTTAAACAACAATTATTTTCAAAATATGTTAAAAATTAGTAATTAATTAATTAAATTTAATCATCATTTCTTTTGTGATTAAAGTATAATTCAAATATTATTTACTGTTTAAAATATAAGTAAATGAGAAATTAACTCATTATATTACAAAAATACAAAATTATACTACAAAAATTCAACCAATGTTTAAACAAGCGCCAGAGCTCTCCTATTTGACGAATTCGAATTTTTCAAAAAGCGTTTGAAAGCTTGAGAGCCCTTCTATATGGGATTAAATTTTCAATTATCTAAGGGCCTTGGTTTTTGCTGTGCAAAATTTTGAAAATTTGCAATTTTTTTTTAAAATCTGGATTGCAAAATTATTATGCAAAATCTATCGAACCGATTTTGATGAAATTTGGTGTGATGATTTTACATAACATGAACTTTTCTTGAGCCAAGTATGAAGGTCCTATACCCAACTTAAAGACTCCAAAAAAATTGTTTTTTAACCCCATATTGGCGTTTTTTTCGATTTTTACAATAATAATTATGATTCATTCGATTTGCAACTAGTCATATTTTGTAAAATTTAATTATAAACAATTTTTTCCTCTTCCATTTCCGCCTAAAATCAACCCTTGAAAAGATACATAATTAAATAGGAAGAAAAATATGACATTTTTCAAATTTTTTTAACATATTGTGCCGCCAAAAGTTAAGGCCACGTTTTTCTTTATGCGCATAGAAAAATTTTCATTTCTAGTGATATTTGAAAGCCAAAAAGCCAAAAATCTCCGTGGATATACGATTCACCCCAATATGGACTCTTTGAAACAGATACCGCCTGGACTACATGGAAATTTCACACCCCTATTTTGTAGCCTATCAAAAAATACTATTTTAAAAAGAAAAAATAATATCCGAACATTTTACTTAGTATTACAAATATGTGAATTGTAGGCAATCTACAATGCATGCGAATGGAGATGGCGTGGGTCAACGGTTTCATCGCTGAAAGCCATCAACAGACTATTTATTTTTGTGTATTTCATTTATCACTATGGATTTTATTGCTCGAGTTTTTTGGTAGACAGCACTAGCGATATACGTGGCAACTTTTTTTTATTTAGGAGCTTGTGGCCGGTCAGTACGAGAGTGAACTGTACACGGTCCACGGTTTAATGTTGGAGAGCCGGAAGAGAAGGGAGCACCTCTCCTCCGACGATCTACAGAAGAACAAGGCCATCCTGGAGAGCTTCACGAAAGGCGGGAACTTTCAAAACTTCGACCAGAACGGCGCGGTAAGTGAACGATATCGAAAATTCACTTTTTTAAAATTAATTTGTGGTTTAAAGAAAAAAGGTGGTATTTATCGAAAATCTTTGATTTTTATGTTTTTTGTAGCCCGTTAGGCGGAACAGTTTGGTACCGCCGCCTGAGAAAAAGGTGACGTGGGACCAGTACATAAATTCCGACGTAAATAACTACCCGAGACTGGGGAGGGACCTTGTATATAAAGAATCGTCCAAGTCGTTCAAGGCGACGATAGCGATGGTAAGACGTTCGTTATAAATTTACTTGCAGGATGAATCCGAAATGTTTATTTTAAAGTCGGTTTTGAAAAATATTTGCGGATATATACATTTTTTAAATCGTTCCATTCGCAAGTACATTTTGAGAGCCGCTGGTCACACGGAAGATAATCATTTACGCGGGCGCACGACGAATCGCGAGTTTGCCAAGTCATGTGTCAAGAAAATTATTTAAAATAAGATCGCAATCGTTTATTTTGGTATTATGGGTTAAATCTATGTCTAATGCGATGAATTCTACTTTGAAAATCAGTAGGCTGGTTTTTTTAAAGCGTATTAAAATTATGCAATTTTAACTTTGTAATAAAAAAAAACTTTAAAGGATTGTAAAATTATTTTCAGCTATCACAAGTCTAAAATGGCACTATTTTAAGAAGCAAATAACTTAAATTGCTAAAAAAAATAATTTGTCAAATATACATTTTTCAGGTCTATCGAAAAAATGCTACAAACCTGTCATTTTTGGTTCATGTTTAAAAAACAAAAACTAGCATTTATTATTATTATTTTCCAACAACTGCCTTAATAACAAGTGACTATCTACTTCATTTAAATAAAAAAATTTTTTTACTGTCTCGTAGAGAATTTGACGGTATATAATGATTTGATTTTTGCGTCGATTATTACAAAAAATTTATGAGAAAAAAATGCAAAATACACATTTATATTAATTGGAGCGCCTGATAAAATTGTTAAAAGTGGTGTGAAAACACTAAAATTTAAAAAAAAATGGCATTTCTCAAAAAAATAATAATAGAGTGTGTTTGTAGTTTTGTGTTTTTTGAGCCAATAACTTCACTAAATCCATTGTTTTCGAAGATCAGACCAAAAGGGGCACGTAATCATTGAAAAATAATGCATTTAAACAGTTCGTTACCACAAAATGTTTTTATCGACAAACGATTGAGCTAACGACTTAATTAGTACAGTCAATCAGTCATTGAAGCTTTTCACCTCTCAATTCTTTGAACCTGAACCAATCGACTTGAAATTTGGCAGACAGTTAGAGAAAAGGTCAATGAACATTAGTGACATAGCGCCGATTGACGCTTCCACCCTGTTGGGGGTTGACACCACTTCTCGGGGGTGGAAATTTTTTTTTCAAAAATAACTGGAAATCGATAGAAAATCAAATTTTGAGCAAAAAGTATTCGAAGAATTTTTTCGAGAAATCGGTAGTTTTTTAGTTATTCACGATTGAATACTTGTAATTTCCAGTGAAAAAAACACTTTTTCAAAGTATTTTTTGCAAATAACTCAAAAACTACGCATTTTATCAAAAAAAAAAGTGTAATGAACAGAAATATAGCTTATAAATAAACAAAGAAAATCGTTTTTTAAAAAGTGTTGTACGTCCTATACAAAGCCAACTATGGTTAGTGGAAGGGGACTTGTTTTGGGGGGAATACTCGAATCGATGTATTCAACGTCAAATAACGGAAAGAGGATTAATTTTACATGTATAACGCTCCGGGAGTTTTTTGTAGTACTCAAAAAGACGTTCAAAATGAGCGCTTATAAAAGTTAATTAGAGCAAAATTGAAGGAGTTATCGTCAAAAACAGATGGGTTGTTCATATTTTTTAAGGAAAAATGAGCAGTAAACGCTGTACCATTTCCTTCAGAATTAAAATTAATCGTAGACCCTTTACAATTAGTTTTGTTTTAGTGTTTTTCGTACGATCCTGAAGTTAGACCAGATTAGAATGCATATTTTTTGAATAATGTACGGTAAAAGTTGAAAACGTATTTTTCATTATTCAAAAAAAATCTTATTTATATAATAACTCTGAAACTATGAAAGATACGTAAAAAAAGATATACAACAAAAATGTAGGTTTTTTTTCAACAAATATTTTGCTTTTTTTTATTCCCATAGCATAAAAAATAAAGGAGATATCGCCGCTTGAAATATCCATTTTAGTGAAAAAACGACTTGTCTTGAGCCCTTCGATCCTTTCCCTTTAAAAAACGAAGGACTTAAAAGGTTTCATATGCAAATGATCGTACAGCTCCTGAAATTATCTTTAAAATGCTTTTTGGTAGGATACTATAGCTTTAAAATTAACCGAGTTATGGTAAAAAAACCAATGACATTTTTTCGGAGCAAAATAGGCTTTCTCATTTTTATTTAAAAATAAAATAAGTAAAAAAAATTAGTTTAAAGTATTAAGCAAAAAACATATACATAATGGCGGCTAGTGAAAACTCAAGTTTTCATATTTTGATACCGAAGCATGGAACTCATACTATTTCTACGGGATGATTGCTATGCACACATGAAGAAAAAAATTCAAAACAACTTTTCAGCAGAAATATGGTAGCAAAAGCTAGAAAAAATGTATAGAAATTTTCGTAGAAAATCTACGAAATTTTTGTCTTTATTAGCAGTTATTTAATAAAATGAGGTGTTTGTTCGCCACTTTTTCACATAGAATCATAATAGGAAATAATGTAGCAAAAAACTTGACCCATATTTTTTATTTTTGTATGAAATCACTGTTTAACTGGAAATTAAAAATACATAAAAGTGAAACTTATTTGTGGAACACTTAAAAATATCATTTTAAACTATGTTTTAATTGCGCCATCTGTCAATAAGAACTTTAATTAAACTCTCATACTACTACAGCCCTCCTTTTATTTATTTACAGAGAGACCTTACTTAAATATTTCTTGTAATAACATATCCATAGTCTAGTAAGTCACAGGGAATAAAATTTTTTAATTTAAAATAAAATAAACATTTGTAGGAGTTGCTTGTACAATTCACATTAACTTTATTGTAGAACAGTATTCAGCGACAAAACACTATTTTTTTTTAGCCAAACATCCCATTACATACAGGATGGACCCGAAATAATGGGCCAAAATTCATGGGTAGATTCCCCAAGTAAAAATATTGCGATTTAGCCGAACTTACCTTAGTCCAAAAGTTGATAGTTAAAGAGATACAGGGTGTTAAATGTAAAATATTATTTCAGTTTTATTTAATTTATTCCTTAACAAATGCAAATATCCTCACAAAATTTTGGGGATTGGAGTTCGTTGAGTAGAGGAATTGAAATCTGTTCACATTTTGGTTAAAGTTCATAGAGGGCGCTAGCTGCAGTAGATTGAATGTGTTAAAAACGACATAACTTTTTTGTG